CTAAGAATTATGAACTTAGTACAAATAACTTGATTCTACCCTTTATCTCTAAGAGTTTACCACCTGAATCCAACTTATATATAAATCATTTTATATAAACATATTTTCTTTCGGGGTATTTTTTATTAGGCCTGTTGGACAGAATCTTGGACTAATAAGAGAATACTCAACAAAGCTCCCTCTAGGCTTTGTTTCGGAAATATTTACCGATCAATGTTGTTGCAGGTGACAATTGAAAGGTTTATGAAATCAGTTCCTTTTTCGGGTCAACAAATATGACAGCAACTAAATACGTAAACAAATAGGAATGGCTAAAGCACACACATAAGAGACAATTTTTACGTGGAAAACCTCTTCAAATAGAAGAGTAAAAACTTCGGGACTTCTAGTCCATGAAAAATGGCTGTATTATATCAAGAGAGTGTTACAAAATCATCTTCAAACAATCACAATAACAGCAAGAGGAAAAAGGAAACAAGTAATACAACAAGAAAATAGAGAACAAATGAGAATGAAACAGCTACAGGTTCAGACACTGAAACATATTACAGCGTTCACTTGAAGATACCTTATGAGCCTTAGCGGATTTCTGCCATAGCTTTCCAAGGCAAAGAACAGAGGCACTGAAGAAACAAAGGTTCGTCTTATTCTTTAGAAATGAATCAAATCAAAATAAATGAAATGCAAATCAACAGAGTTTAATTTGTGCTTCATAATCACTACCTTTTCCTTTGATGTATGTCTTTTTTCCTCGTTCACATTCTCTATCTCTAACTGCTCCTTGCATTTTAGAAAGTGAAGCATATAATCTTGTTCACATCTGCTTCAAGACATGAATCAAAATGAAACAAATGAACTGCTAAATGTATTCTTGTAAACGTTTTCCTGGTAGTGGAACAAGCAGTATGATGAAATATGTCAGAAACAAGAATGAAACAAAATAAGTTAGAACAAAACAACCTGAAGAAAATGTAATCAGTGTAAAGAAAAGAGAGAATTTGGAGGACAAGGACTTACTAGCTTTGATGAACACTGAAATATACTGAATTCCAGCTCCAATCATTCTGTTTTCATTGCATTCCCCATCTCCTCCTAGATATTGGCAGAGTAAGAAGACAAGGAGTACATCAGAAGCTCCCACAAAAATAGAATTACTAACAAGCTAAACTTTGACTGCAAACCCAAAGTTATCAATTTATAAGTAATCTATTAAGAACACATGTATTATAAAGTAAGAGGATGAAGCACAAGTGAATAAGAATAAAAGAGAGCTCATTTTGTCCAATTTGTGCTTTCAGTGTTATCATCATAATCCCTTCTTTGACTAAGAGTCCATTATATGAATAAGTATAACCAAATAAAAGAAATTGGGAGAAGAAAAAATGAACCCTTCAAAATACACTTGGCACTTATATTTTCTTCAATAAGACTAGCTGAGATAGAAGTTTTGCACTTCTCTGAATAAGCCATTGTTTGATAAATCCCTGAAACAAAACATCTCAATCTGTTCAATATCATTGATTCCTAGATGCTGATGGTTGGCCTTTTTACTCATTTCCATCGATGAAAATATTGGAATGCCTTTTAAAGGGGAAAACATACAAATTTATAATTCTATCATAACCACATTGAAGCTATTGAGACCAGTTTACGAGCAATCACTTGCATAGGGATCTCATTGTCAATTTCTTCTCTTCACTCCAGTTGTTGATTGCATGTCCATTATTACATCATCAAACTCAAAGTTGTATAAAGAATTTATTCAAACAAGCTATAATATGTTTTAGATGCAAAGAAAAAGGTTTGAAAAGCCATACCATCTTCCTTGTTTGCTGGCAATTGAATGAGATATTCTACCATAAAACCACAAAAGCCTAAGAATTGGTGGAAGAGTTGATCTGTTGTTTAGTTCCAAGTAAATTTCAATGCTTTCCTCACTACTGCAAAATGTGTGTACACATAATCTATGGCACCTGGATCTGTACATTTCAAGAAAAATTGAAAGGACTGCAGCCATGGTTTATGCTAGTGAAGCTGCAGTGCTCTTGTCAATGGGAAAAGCATGTTCTCAAAATGTTGAAGTTCACAAAGTCATAAGGAGTCCAGACTCCAGATTTCATCATTAACAGTTTGCAAAGTAGCAAGTCACAAAAACACCATAATCTCTAACCTGAAATGGAATGTATTGTTTGCTTAAAGTTTTGATTCAATATGAAATTAAACTGATCAAATTTATAAATTGATTAAAGGCACATATGACTTCAAAGTAATAAGACAAACCTAGAGAAACTCTGGTGTAGGTTCTAACAAGAGAGAGCCACTGAAGAAATAACAGTTCAGTTTGCACAACAGATCAGGTATTTGGCACAGTAACCCTGAGGAAATTTCAACAATCATGATTGAAAATGTGTCAATATAGATTTTTACAGATCATTCCTTAACCAAGTAAAGAAGAATATCCTTTTTGCTAAACTTATATGTAACTTTCATTGGTGAATCATAATCACTAAAGTGAAGTAAAATCCTGCCAAAATAAAATCAAATCTTAATTAAAAAGATGATTTTTAGTTTCACAACCCACCTTTGTAGGGTAATCCACTTAAACTGGCAATCCGAGACACCTCAACACTTTGATCAGCATGACAAATGTCTAAATACCAGAAAACTTGCACCTCAAAATGTGGTCATAATTCGAAAACTACATGGCTGTAGAATAGCTAAATCTGTTTATGAGCCTCAACAACTCAAAGAGAGGACTACTCATCTGGTTGGGTCCCTACTGTGAAAATTCCCTCCAGTCATCATGATATTTTTTTGGTTTCAGATCAGGAAAATTAGATTGCCTGTAATTAGATTAAGGAACATAGTTGAACAAAACTGAATTGAACAAAGAATAACACAAAAGAAAAAAAAAAATCATACTCAAAATCTAAAAGTTGGTTTATAGAGAAAAGAAAGCAGACCTCAAAAATGAAAGCTTTTGATAGTTTGTCTTGCTAGTTTTCTACTCCTTTAGAGATTTACAGTTGGTTAATCTAAGCATTTGATTATGCATCAGTCCACAATTAGACCATGGCTACTCAAAGAATTATGAAAATAACAAAGGACCTATTGGTAAAAAAACATAGCTATGGAATTGGAATGAAAATAAAAATGAACAGAAGGATTGCAGAAAGGAATTCAGGAACTCACTAACTCACTAGCTTTAGAGGAACCCTGAGGCCTGAGCAGATGTGCATAAATATTTAGCGCCAGAGATCTGAATCTGCATGAATCACCGAAATTTGGTCAAAGACTGTAACTTGATTATTTGAATAACATAATATGTTTTAGAGGAGAGGACGTGTTTTTTTTCCAAAGTAAAAGATTAAAAAGAAATGCTTTACAGTCGTTAAATTTCTGATTAGCATAATACTTAAATGATGTGGAACGAAGGGATTAGGGTTCCAGAAATTAAACATACTATCGGAAGATCGGTACTTCCCCTGCACCACCTTGTCATGTATGCAGATATTGGGAATGTGGGAGATATTGGACCATTCGGGACCGCTCTTTTTGGCGCATCTTCTCTTCAATTTCGGAAAATCGAAAATTTGAAGATATCCTCGCATGGCGTCAATAGAAGGCAGAAGAGTCGAATTATAGCATTCCGAAATCTCCAGCCAATCAAGAGAAGAGAAGTCTCCCAACCACTCTGGCAAAGCTTCCAGGCCATTGAATTTCCCTAAAGTTAATTCCTTGAGGGCAGTGAGATGTCGAAGCTGATGTGGCAGAGACTTTAGTTTATCCCATCCGTACAAGATCAATACTTCAAGCGAGGGGTGGAACTGATGAATGGAGGTCAATCCTGGGAATTCCTCCAACTCCGACCAAAAAGGACCAAGCCATAAGTTCTTCAAGCGGGTGAGGCTATCTAGCCACCCCTCCGGAAAGCTCCTTAGATTTTCGCAACATCGCATAACAAGAATACTGAGAGAACGCAATTTCTTGATATCGTCAGAAATGGAAATTAAATTAGGGCAAAATCTAATTACCAACTTCTGCAATGAAATGCAAGAGTCCAGCCCAATTGGAAGACACGTTAATCCATCGCAACTAGAAAGGTAGAGTTCTTCAAGAGATGTCAACCCATTCATACTTGGAATGGAGTTCAGATTTGGGCAACTTTCAATTCGCAAGAACTGAAGAGAGATGCAGGATCCAAGCCCAATTGGTAGACTTGTTAATCCATTATTGCCCTTGAGCTCAAACGTTGTAAGAGTTGAGAGCCCATCTAAACTAGGGATAGCCATCAGATTTCGGCAGCTTTCAATTCGCAACAACTGAAGAGAGATGCAGGATCCAAGCCCAATTGGTAGACTTGTTAATCCATCATTGTCATTGAGCTCAAACCTTTTAAGAGTTGAGAGCCCATCTAAACTAGGGATAGCCATCAGTTTCTGACAAGAACATATGGACAGCTTAGAGAGCTTATGATGAGATGAAAATCCGCCCATCGACCAAGTCTCCAACAAAGGACAACCAGAAATCAGCACATTCTCAAGGCAAGGAAACACGATCACACCTTGACTCCCTGCAGCTGCATCCTCAACAACTTCAACCCATTCTTCTAGCTTTTCCATGCCATATATGGTGAGTGTTTTCAAAGCTGGGAACAATCTGATTGATTCTGCTCCTCCGGGCTGAAGCTTGTGACCCATTCTTCTAACATTTTCCATACTTCTAATGTAGAGAACCTTGAGAAAAGGCAATAGCCCCAAACTCGGAATACACGTGCACTCAGTGCAATTAGTTAACTTCAACTCCACCATGTTGTCAAGAAGGAATGACGAACCAAAACTATTGACATCATTCCCCATCCAAGATGGGAACATCTTTCCTTTGTAACCATTAATAGTGAGGCTTTTCAAATTTGAATGAGGTTGAAGGCTTTCTAGAACCTCTTCATCGTTGTTGTTGTTGACTGCTCTCCAATTCCCACTACTCCAGTCTAATTTCAATTGATGCAATTTTGTCTTTTCTTTCAGATTTGCTTTAGAAGCTTCCAATTTGGATCTGACATGTTCAAGCTTCCAAATCTCTAGTTTTCCTCCAAGTTGGCTTAAGCATCCAAGGTCTTCAATCCGGCATCCCTCTTTTGTGCCCACAGCAAAGCGTGATAATGTTCGAAGGGAAGTTAACTGCATGATCGATATATCACTTGGACAACTAGAATAGATATGCCTCAAGCTGGTGAGATTTGCCATGCCATTGGGAAGCTTTACAAGATGAAGGCAATTAGATAAATTTGAAGTCTGCAAATGATAGAGCTTGGAGAAGGATTTTGGTACTGTTCTGGCATTAGTTTTTGAGATGTCAAGGTACCTCAAATGCTTCAATTTGCCAAGAGAATTTGGCAACTTTTTTCGACCAAACTCTAATTTCAAGGATCGCAAGCTTTTGAGATCTGACGCCATGCTACAAAAAACATCAACATCTGAAAACAAAGAATGCAACCTTTGAGCAACACTTCTTGGAATGGTTAGAAGATCCTGTCCCTTGGACTTGACTCTCAAATGTCGAATAGTACTACAATTCTGAACATCAAAATTGCAACTAGTGTCCCAAACCAAGGTATAACCTTTTGAAACAAGCAATGCAAGATCATGCACTAGATCATGCATTTTGCAAGATTTAATATTCCCATACAAATCCCATTCAATATCTTGGAAAAAAGAATTAGATAACAACTCCTTGAAACACTCATTACCAATATCCTCCGTTTCCACAAGGCTTTCATTAGATTTGTGAACAAACCCCTGAGCCACCCAAAGTTGAATTAAATCATCTATGAAAATGACAGCATCCTTTGGAAAAATTGAACAATAAGAGAAGC